GCCGGCGCCCGCTCAAAACGCGCGGGGCTGCGGCGGCGCACAGCAGCGCTCGGCCCCGCGCCCTGCCGGCTCCCGCCTCGACGCCATGAAGACCTTCTTCACCATCGAGATCAAGGATGGGCGCGTGCAGCCCCTGGCGCCCCGCATCACGGCCTCCCCCAGCAGCCAGCGGGCAGGTGGGCATTGATGGGGTACGGGGTGTGCAGGAAGGTCCAGTGGGCAGATGGCATCTGTCATTAGGCTTCACGCTGTAGGGGTGATGGGCATGGGTGTCATGCAGGGAGGTGGGACTGGAAAAGATGTGGATCTCTCAGTGAGGTGGGCACAACAGGGGAATTCTTATCCACCAGGCTCTAAGCACTACAGGACTGTGCTCCTAATATGACAATGTGCACAGCTGGGCAGTAGAACAGGTTGGTACCAGTGGGTAGTTGGGCACTAACAGATGGTGGGCACAAATGGGCAGATGGAGGCAGGCAATCTGAGCCAGGCCAAGTGGGTGCTGATAGGCAGCAGTGGCATTTGAGTGCTGGCAGCCCAGAGAACAGGTGCTGCCAGAAGAACAAAATGCGTATGGTAGCCCTCATCCTTTGGCATGCACTCTCAGCCTGCTTGGGGCGTCTCAGTTCGGGGAGACCACCTGGCCCTGCAGCCTGTCCACAGCCCCACTGTCTTACCACGTTTATGTTTGGGGTCATTCCCCAATCCCTGCACTGCCCCTGCAGCCCTGCCCCATCCTCTCCCCACTGACCTGCTGATTCAGGGGAACCCATGACATCCTGCTCTGTGTCCCGTTCCACTGCTGCACCATGTCTGTTCCAGCCCTGCCCCTAACCTGCTTGCCCACAGATGTGGCTGGGTCAGGATGCTCCTGTGGCCATCCCTCTCAGCCGGGGGTCTTGGCTCCAGCTGAAGCACTGCAGAATGCACCCTTACTTGGGGAGGATGATGAACCAGGGCAGCAGGGGTCTCAACTTCCCCATCTCTTGCTTGCCACCAAGACCTTTCCCTGTGCCACAGCCCAGTGCTCACTGCCAGGGTAGGATGTGTGGGGTAGGCAGAGAGCCCAGCCAGAGCCACTCCCCAGCTGGGTCTGAGCCTGTGGGCTGGATCAGATCCCACATGCCTCTTGCTCCCCTTGCAGAGGTGACTCTGGGTCTGCGGAGCACCCCCATTCGTATCACCACCATCCCCAGCAGTGTCAGCAGCATCTGCAACATCAGCAGTGTCAGCAGCAATGTCACCAAGGTGAGTGCCCAGGCAGTCTGTGGGGCTGTGCCCTACCTGGCCATTGCCTGGCAGCTCCAGGGCTTGGGGTGGGGACCAGGGACCAAGGAATTAGTGTAGGTAGCATGGTCCAGAGGCTCTGTCTAGTTTTGGTTGATGCTTTTGTTTTGGTAGGGGTTTTTTCATCAAGAGAATCTGGACTTTGTGTGTGGTTTCACAGCCCCACATGAGCCCTCTGGACTGTGCCACCATGTACTCAGACACTTGGGGAGATGGGTGGAGGGGGACAAGGAGTCTTTTGTGGGTCTCCCTCTGTTTTAAACACCTTTAAGGGTGGCGACAGCTTGGGGGAAAATCCATTGCCAACCACCCCTGTTGTTCTTCCTGGGGATGGACCTTGGCCATGTGTCTGGGAAGCCTGCCTTCCCCAGAGGCAGGGAGGCTACTCGTCAGAGGTCCCTAAAGCACTCTGGAGTTGTGGGTTGGGGTCTTGCCAGTTCCTGCTATGCCATCCTGAGTGGAGAGTGTCCAAAGCCCCAGGCCACCTAGGAGGGATTCTTGGGTGCAGCTGGTGAAAAAAATCAAAAAACAACCCCTTTGCAGTGTCTTGTGGGGAGAGCAGGCTGTGGCTACCCTGAGGCTGGGTGCACACAGGAGACAGCCCTTCAAGTGCTTTAATCTGCTCCTGCCCATCTAGGGTAATGCAAGGCGCCTGTGTGCCGCCTTGGCAGGAGCCAGAATATCAAACATGGCTCTGTCTCACTCATGGCCGTGCGCACGCCTGGCTGTCTCTGCAGGAACAGCACTGTGGGTGGCTTGTGTCACTGCCAGTGGCTGTGGTACCATCCATAGCCTGGGGCATACTGGTGGCTGTGGTACCACCGGCTTCATCCCACCCTCAGCCCAGCCCTTGCCAGCTTGAGGCAGGCAGTGCCCACAGGTGCTGCCCACACCTGCCAGCAGGTCGTGGGTCCTGACTGCAGTGGGGTGCCTTCCCTGTGCAAATGCGCTTGGGCAGCAGTTGTCAGCTCTCATAAACGTATTCGGGGGCCTGTCCAGTGAGGTGGGGGGCCTGAGACCTGTTGGCTGCCTGACAGGAGACGCAGCCCCCAGGTATGCTCCCAGTGGGCAGGGAGGAGGAGGAAGCAGCAGTGCTGGCAGGTACTGCCAGGTAGGGCTTGGTTGGATGACCAGCAGGCTGCAGGGACTGGGGACAGTAACCACAGTGGCATGTCTTCTCATTGGTGGGGTGCTGCCTGTTCAGGGACCTGCTCCCTCTGGGGCAGGCATTGGGCAGCATGGTTGTATGAAGACCTAAAATCCATGCTGTGATCAAGGTCCTTGCACTGATGCAAGTCTGGGGCTGGAGATGTGCTGTGGATGATGCCAGCCCAGAGTGGGAAGGCACTTGGGCAAAAGTACATAGCAATGGTTGGCCTTTTCATTCACCCAGCACTGCAGTAGTCAGGGCTGGTCCCCACCACTTTGTCCCAAGGCTCCCAGGCTGATATCTGGCCCTGACAGCCTCCAGGAGCGGGGGGGCCACTTGCTGGGCTCTCCTTGCTGAGCCACCTGGTCCCACAGCCGGATGCACTGCCAAGTGTGGCGCCTGGCTCAGCACCCCTGCATGGGACCCCCAGCTGCTGGGACCAGAATAGCCCACAGGCAGGGAGCGAGCCAGCCTCCAGCCAGGGGGGGTTGCCTGGGCCCCTATAAAGGGCAGCGGACAGCTGAGCAGGGCTCGCCACAGCGTCTGCACCACCACCATGCCAGGGCTCAGCTTGGAGGGGCTGGCTCAGGCTGGCGTGGCTGAGCTGGCAGAGCTGCAGCAGGAGCTGGTGGCGTTCCGGGGGGCAGCAGAGGGGCAACTGGAGCAGGCTCTGCAGCAAGTGCAGGTGCTGGTGCAGGCTCTGCAGACATTGGAGCAGGAGCACCTGGAGTTGCGGGCAGAGCTGGAGCGCCTGGGCCGCTGCCTCGATCTGCTGGTGCCAGGGCTGCAGGTGCCCCCCAGGGAGGACATCAGCACCCTCTTTCTGGAAGCACAGGACCCTTGCACCCACTTTGTGGGCACTGAGGAGCCCAGCGGCCCTGTGGCCCATCCACCCACTTTCTCCAGTACGTGCCAGCAGTCGGCCCTGCATCTCTCCCGAAGCAACAGCAGCGTGAGTGTGGGCAGCCCTGCATCATGATGGGGGAAGGGAGGGGGTCACCAGCCCCCAGGGCTCTTGGAGTTGTCTGTAGCCCTGGTACAAGGCATGACTGTGGCAGTGATGCATGGGGACATGGCACCATGGGGATCCACCACTCCTTGGGCTCACTGTTGTGGGGCTGTGCACCCACCTGTTTCGCATTCCCAGTGTGCCAGGTGAGAAGCTGCAGGCAGCTGTCTTGGCCCCACCACAGCACCAAGCACAGGTGGTGGCATGGGCACCTGTGGCCAGCGTCAACTCCTGCCGATGGCTTTGCCATGGATCAGTTACCAGGCCACAGGATACAGGGGCCAGGTGTGTGCATGGCTGCTGTGGCCCCACTGTCATCCCTGGTGCCTCTGTGCCCTATTCTGGGCCTGGCCTACTGCCTACTATGCATTGCTGGGGGGTTGTGCTAAAAGGGACTTGGCATCCTGTCCTGGCTGTGCTTGGGCAGGGGCCAGACTGGCCTAAATCCTGGCAGGGATGCAGGGGATGGCTCTTGATCTCCTGCACAAGCTTTTCTCTACAATAAGTCCCTTAATTCCCTGGAAATCCCTGTGCTGCTAATGGTGTGCACTGGCCTTGCCAGCACCCCGCCCACTGCTGGGTAACAGCTGCTGCCCAGCCCAGAGCATAGGGCAGGCCCTGCCTGCTGGGGGACCCAGCCACCTCTTGCTGGGGAGCAGGGAGGATTTATGACACCCAGACTGGAAGGAAGAGAGGGACTGCTGGGCCCTCCTGGGGCATGGGGTGCTGCAGATTGTCATACTCCCCTGCCTGCCTTGGGTACTGCAGATTCTTGCGGCATCCCACCAGCTGAGAGCACTTAGGCCCTATGTTGCACATCCTCTCCAGGGTCCTCACTGCCTGTTGCACTGGGCTGGTGTCAGGGTGATGAGGGCCTGGACCCTGAGAAGAGGTGGGGGGTGGCAAGCTGGCAGGGGCTCAGCTGCATGGTGATGTCCTTGCAGATGGAGCCGGAGGTGGTGGAGCAACACCAGGCACCAAGGCAGGAACCAGAGCTGCCCAACGGCATGGAGAAGGTGCAAGTGAGGGAGGTGGAGAGGAGCAAGCTGAATGCTGAGGAGCTGCGCAGGATTGAGGATGAGGATGTTCTGGATAAGATGGTACCTCTTTCTCTGGTTCGGGCTCCTGCAAGAAGGTAAAGGGACCTCAAGCTGATGATAGAAGACTAATGATGACTTCCCTCTCCTGCAGCTGGATCAGACAACAGACTTTGAGGAGCGACGGTTGATTCGAAATGCCATGCGGGAGCTGCGCCAGCGCAAACGAGGTACTCAGGGATGGTGACCCCCACTGGGGTCAGAGTGCTGGTGATGCCAATGTCGGATGCTGAAGTGGGGGTGTCCAGCTGCGGGGGAGCAGTAGGGTGTGTGCTGGGTCCTCTGTTGGCCCCCTGTCTTTGCAAGGCCAAGGACATCATCCCTCCCACAAACCAGTTGTGGGCCAGCAGCAGTGCAGGACCCCTGGTGTGGCAGGAACTGCCCTCCACCCCACCTCCCTGCTGATGCCATCTCCCATTCATGTTTGCAGACCAGCGGGAGAAGGAGCGGGATCAGTGGCTGCAGGAGGCTAGGAGCCAATCTGTGGGAGTAAGGGCTGGCCATGCCACAGAGACCACCACCATGCAGAGCACTCAGTCAGCCGATGGCTCAGCACGCAGCACTGTCACCAAGACTGAGCGTCTTGTCCAGTCTGGTATGAGCAGGGCTAGGGGGGTGTGCCAACTCTTTGGGGGCCTTGCAGAATCCTTCCCAATGCTCCACCACCACAGTTCCTTTGCCATTCACTGCCTGTCCTGAGTCTGGCTTGACGGTGCTGGGAGCAGGACTGTGTTTCAGAGATGAGTCTTTGGCTTGCCCAGAGCCTGCGTGAGGATAATTAAGGGTTCTGCTCTGGTGACTTCCCTCTGAATTCCCAACCCTGTCAGGATGGCAGGGCCTCATCTGCACCTTTGGCCTGTGTGTTGTCTCTTATACCCCTGCTCTCCCAGTCCCTGGGTGGCTCAAGCTGATCAGCTGCAGGGGTGGAGGGATGCCCCAGCTCCCTGCTGCTTTGTGCTCGCCTTTTTGTTCTCTGCTTCTGCTTGGGGGGCACATGCCTCTGCCTGCCATGCCCATGGCTCTACCGTCTGGGACTTCTCCCTGTTACACTGCATGGGTGCATAGGTGCTTGGCAGCAGCATGTGTCTGTGGGTGCTGCTCCTCCCAGCCCAGCAGTTGCCATTGCTTTATCCTTGCAGGTGATGGCACCAAGACCTCCCATACTACAACCATGGAGTCAAGTTATGTGAAGAGATCAGACAGTAAGTTTTTCCTGCCCTTTCCCTATGTCATCCTCAGGGTGTAACCCTGGGGCATCGCTGCTGCTGAGCCATCACTGCCCTGGTGCAGGCAGAGTCCTGCCTGCCTGGCACTGCTGCCCTCAGCTCCTTCAGCCGAGAGCCCAGGGCCTCTCTCCTCTCTCTCTCTGCAGATGGCAACAGCACTTTCGTTCAAACCAAATCGTCCTACAGCTCCTCATCCAAAAAGACAGGCAGGTGAGCAGAGGTGCCTGTGGGGACAGCCCCACATGGTCCCTGTCACTCATCTGCTTGCACAAGCCCTCTGTCCAGATTGCAGTGTCCCCACACAAATGTCACTCCAAAGCCTCCTGGTCCTTGAGGTATATTCACTGTATTCAGAAGCTCTCATGGTTCCTTCCATGGGCATGGAGATCGGTCTGCCAGCTGAGGACCTTAAGCCACCTCTTGTCTGTCCAAGGCACACGAAGATCTCCTTAGTTCCAAGGCTGGCCATGGACTGAGACCACTGCTTGCCCTCCCCTGGGCTGCCCACAGCCCCTTTAGCATTGCCTGTCTCTCTCCCAGCATTTTTGACCGTGAGGATGAGAGTGCTTCTCGGCAGAGCAGCCTGGCTGCTCTGGAGCGGCGTCAGGCGGAGAAGAAAAAGGAACTGATGAAGGCTCAGAGCCTGCCCAAGACATCAGCGTCACAGGCACGAAAGGCCATGATGGAGAAGCTGCAGAAAGAGGGTGGGAGGTGAGGCTGGGTCTGGGGCAGGTTGGCCAGGGCAGTGAGTGCTGCACAAAAACAACACCCTGCAGCTATGGATAACACGCCATGTCTCCCATCACAGTTCAAATCCTGTAGCATCACAGACCGCTGTGCAGCGCTCCTCCAGCTTTGGTGTGCCTAACGCCAACAGTATCAAGCAGATGTTGCTGGACTGGTGCAGAGCCAAGACCCGGGGCTATGAGGTGGGTGCCACATCCTTTTCCTGTCCCAAGACAGTCACTCTGTCCCTTGGTAACTCTGTTGCCCTCTCAGCACGTGGACATCCAGAACTTCTCATCCAGCTGGAGTGATGGCATGGCTTTCTGTGCCTTGGTCCACAATTTCTTCCCTGATGCATTTGACTACAGTAAGCTGACGCCCCAGAACCGCCGCCAGAACTTCGAGGTGGCCTTCTCTTCTGCAGAGTACGTACCTCTCTTGCCATCATGTGGACTTGGGATGGCTTGGGGTGGCTCTCCTGCTCGCTGCTGGGGCGAGAGGGGACACTGGAGGGGATGGTGCTGGAGGTGGGTGCCTGTAGGTGTCACTCCCCCCATGCAATGCAACAGGGTTAGGTGCTCTGGGGGCACGTAGCAGCTGTGTGGGCAGAGTCACAGAGGCCAGTGCAGCGCAGTCTGGTATGGCAAGTATGGGTATGGGGGTCTAGGTTCCTGGGTGTGGAGCAGGGCACCCAAAGGTAGAGCAGCAGCCCCATGAGCCCATCTGGCTTCGTGCAGTACATTCAATCCTGGTGTACCAGGTGTGAGACTGCAGCCTGCGGGGGGAGCAGGGCTTGCCTATGCCAGGTGCCTCCTTTCACAGTTGTAGGAGCTCAAACACCGTTGCAACTTCTCCAGTCTTCCCCTTTTTCTTCTGGTTTTCCTGGGTGCTGAGAGATGGGAGTGCACCCAGCTGGAGGGCTGGCAGGCAGCCCCTCTCTCCTTCCTTCTGTCTCTCTCCCACCCACCCTCTCCTCTCCTCCAGCACCCTGCTGGGGGGCAGGGCTGAGGATGGGGGTCCCATCCTGCTGATGTCCAAGGTGGCAGGGTGAGATGGGGACTCCTGCAAGCTCCCAGGGTGCTGTGGTGCTGTTTGGTGGAGTGAGAAGGGGGCTGCGGGCCTGGCTCTTGGTGCTCCTGTTAATGGATTTTTTGCCTTAATTGGGAAACTGGTCCATGGACTTGAGAGAGCCATCGATCTCTCCGGCCTGGAAGCCAGGTGGCCTCTCATCCTTCCTCCTCTTCCAGCTCTTGTGAGCATCCTCTCCCAAGCTTCCTGCACCAGGGCGCACCCTGCAGTTCCAAGTGGAGCTGGGCAGAAGGGCTGGGCTTGCCCCCACCATCCTCCCAGTGGGTCTATATAGGAGCTATATAGAGCGCTGCTCCACTCTGGAACCCGCTCCCCGAGCACCTGGCGTGCCAGAACACCTCACTCATCCTCCTACTCCTCCTCCTTCTCTTCCGTCTGTCTTTCCTTCTCAACTTCACGCCTCTCCACGCCACTCACCTGCCCCTCTCCTCCTTGCTTTTGCCCCCCCAATGTCACTGAATGGCCTTGGCATGGGGTGCCCAGAGCCCTCCTGCCCCTGCATTGTGCATCCCCAGAGCATGCCAGAGCAGAGCAGCTACCAGTGGGATGGGAACTGCACTGATCTGTGTCTCTTGTTTTCTCTTCCTCCCCTCCCTGACTGGGCTGCGGTCACTGGCTTGCCCCTCTCTCTACCTGCACCCAGGAAGCACGCGGACTGTCCACAGTTGCTGGACGTGGAGGACATGGTCCGGATGCGCGAGCCAGATTGGAAGTGTGTGTACACATACATTCAGGAATTCTATCGCTGCCTGGTCCAGAAGGGGCTGGTAAAAACCAAAAAGTCGTAGCCCATTGCCAGTCCCCCAGGACCAATGGTGAGAATCTTCCCCTCTGAGTACCTGCCCATGCCCCCACCACCACCAGGGCTCAGCAGAGAAATGACTGCCTTGGCTGCAGACGAGGCTGGGGGATGCTGGTGGGTTAGGGGCAAGTCCTGGCAGTGCCAGACAGGGCCCAGCAGGAGATGGGCAGAGACAGGTGGCTGGGATCAGGCCTTCTGGAATAGCGCCAGTGGGGGTTTCAGCAGGGGGGACTGTGTCATGCTGAAGTTCTGTTTGCTCTCCCGCTGTGGGCAGGGCAGTAGTTAGAACAGAGCCCTGCCCCTGTGGCTGAGCCTGACCCAGGGATCAGGTTCTGGGGATGCCACTCAAGGTATTCTGAGTGGTGCTGGCTGAGTGTGTGGGTGGCCACCCAGGATACTGCAGCATCACTGCTTCCACTTGCTGCCTTATTCCCCTGCCCCAGGGTACATGCCCAGCTCTGATGAGATGCTGCCTGCTCATATATGGGCAGAAACAGGAGCCTGGAAAGTGTGACTCAAGGCTCAGGTCCTGCCTTGTCCTGCAGTGTTTGTGCCTGTCTCAGGGCATCCTGGCTGACGTTAGAGCTGCAGCTCCCCTGGCTCTGCACAGTGCTGGCACACCAGGGCCCAAACAATGGCTTTATAAGGGCAGAGCTCTCCATGCACTGCCATTGCTCTGCCGTCACTTCCTGAGCCAAGTGGCGGTGGCAAGGGCTTTCCCAAGGCCCCAGGCATCATCCCCACGGTGACCAAATCATGAAGTGGGGCTGGTGCCAGCCAGGCAGTGGGCTTGGAGCCCACTGAGCAGGCACCAGAGACCTAGTGGGATGGCTGGGGGCATGGGACCCAGGGTGGGGGTTCTCTTGGGCCCTGGTGCTCCCCAGGGGCTGGTACTGGCTAGGGTCGCTCCTTGGGGTAGGGCTGTTCTAGGGGGCCAGTGTGTGTGGTGGTGTTACTGCAGGAGGGGAGGGGGTAGGTACAGGGCTTGGGGCTTGAGGGTGTTGTCATGGTGGGTGGCAAGCATAGAGTTCAGACCCTCCTTGTGCACCCTGTCCTTGGGGGCAGAGCCCTGCCTTGGGAGATCCTCCTTGTGCAACCAGAGCCTTGGGGAAGAACCTTGAGTGGCCCAGGCTAAAGCAGCTGAACTGGCCGTGGTGGTAGCAGGTCCTGCTGGTTTTTGTCAGCACTGCCCCCAGTGCCAATGCAGCCCTTGCTCCAGCAGCAGCCAGAAGTGGGGACAGTGCCTGGTAGGGTTGTGGGACCTGGGCAGGGCCAGGAGGGTTGGCAGCAGTGGCAGGGTTGCTTCTGTGCCCCCCCACCCCTTCTCTCCCTGTAGAAAGCAGAGGACAAGAGGTGGCCAGATCCCCTCCATGCCCTTCCTGGTTGCCATTGTGACTCCTAATCATGTTCAGTCCCTTCAAGCAGCCAGGGTGCCCCAACTTGGGGAAAGACACAGCCCAGGGAACTGGATGGGTGGCAAGGCAGAGTGCGTTACCGGACCAAAAGGGCAGCGGCAGAGCCCCAAGGCTGCTATGGGGATAGGGACACAACCATAGCTGAACTGCCAGGGCCCCACAAGACTGGTAGCTGCTGGAGCTAGGTCGTGCACTGTGGTGGGGCAGGGAGAGGAGATAGGAGGCTATCTCAACCTACCTAGGTTGCGTGAGCTGAGGCAGGGAAGCACCCACTCCAGCAGTAGGGTGTGCTAGGCCTGGGGCAAGCAGACCCCAGGCTCTAGTCTGGGGCAAGGGACAGAGCCAGGCTGGCAGGGCTTGGAGGAAGGCAGAAAGCAGGGCCAGGGCTTGAGGCAGAAAGGGCAGCATGTAACCAAGACCCACCCCCTGCTTTCCCTGAACCACCAGCTAGGGTTTGAGGTTGGGGCACAGCAGACACCTGCAGCCAGGCTGGGCTCTCCCTAGAGACCATCAGCTTCAGCTGGAGGAGCAAGAGGGTGGGCACAGCTTTAGCAGAGTGCCAGCACTAAGGATGGAGAGTACCAGGGGAGCAAGGGTGCAGACAGCTGGGCAACCCCTGCCCTGAGGCAAGCCCTTCCAGGGCAGACAGCACATGCTCTTCCCAGTGTCAGGAGCAGGACTGTGGGTACCAGGGTAAGTTGGGGGGGGTGTGAGAGGAGCTGAGCAGGTCCGAGGGTAGCAGTGCCCACACCAGCTGGCCCTGGGCAGTGTGGGGTGCCCATCCCAGCCCCCATGTGGGGCAGCCTGCTTGAGGCCATGCTGAAGGCTTCATCTCTGCAGGACGCTGGTGGACTGCGTGCCGCTGGTGGAGGTCGAAGACATGATGATCATGGGGAAGAAGCCTGACGCCAAGTGCGTCTTCACCTACGTGCAGTCCCTCTATAACCACCTGCGTCGCCACGAGTTGCGCATGCGGCAGAAAGAGTGCTAAAGCCTGCCCTGCCCACCCCCACTGCTGCCCTCACCGCAGAGCTGCCTGTGGGCAGGGGAGCTGCTTCCCTGGGAGGGTCTGGGGGGGACATAGGTCTGGCACTGAGAACAGGACAATTCTTCCAACAGTGCACCCCCACACCTCTGCCTTGCCAGAGCTGCTTCTGCCTTGGTCAGCTGTGGGCTGACCCTGTGGGCAGTGCCAGGTTCACCTTGCTGGGGATGCTCCCACCTTAACTTGCTTCCCATGCTCCAGTCTTTTTAAGTTATTTGTTCTCTAGGAATTATTTGCCCTGCAGGCACCATCCCTGTGTCCCTGGGGTGACTTGGGCACAGCTGTGCCCTCAGACTTGGGCCACCTCATGGGTCTGTGGCTGAGCATGACTCTGCAGTCCAGCCAGGGCCATGATACATCCTGCAGGCAGCACTGTCAGTGGTTCCCTTGGCCCCCTACAAGGAAGCTTCTCTGCCCACTGCAGGCCCAACTTGGTGTCACCTCCCATGGGACAGCTCCATAACCGTGCTAACACCCTGCTTCCCACCTCCATGTGCACCATGGGCACTTCCACATTGGGGGCAACTGTGGGTTGGGGAGGGGGCAGCAGCAAGGGGTCCCAGGGGAGTGCAAGGCAAACAGAGCAAGCTGGGACAACCACCCCCACTTTCCTCTCCAGCCCAGGGCACCTGCGTGTTCAGCGCTGCTTGCCCATCTGTCACATCTCTACACCCATGCTGACACGTGTACCAACACTAGCCAGATAATAAAGGTTTATCTAGGGCAATGCCTCTGGCTCAGGTCCTTCTGCCAGCGGCATATTGCACACCACAGTGCTTGGGGAACACAGGAAGTCCAGCTGCTGCTGGCTGCTCTACCTGCAGCTCTACTGCTTACCCACCCCAGAGGGACACTAGGGCATGTATTGCTCTTCCTCTCATTAATGATGTCCATAGTTAAGGCACTCTGACCACGGTTCACTGTCCCACATTGCCCCAAACCTAGCACAGGTAAAAGATCCCACATGGCCAGCAAGACTGTGGTCAAGCACAGCGGTGCCCCACTTCCCTCCCCAGCTGAGGGCCAGATGTCCCCACTGGGCCAGTGCAGGCATGGGGCTTTGGTTCAACACTGCAGGACTTGTTAATGGGCTCATGCCCATCCTCCTGCACCCAGCTCATTCCATGCCATGGTGCCCACCACCCTCACCCCTCTATCATGCTGGGGAGGGGTGTTCCTGGCACAGGAACAGCACAGCTGGTCTGTAGGTTGGTTTGTGGCTCACCAGCAGTGACTAGGACTGCTATCCTCTCCTGCCTCTGTGAGAAGCTCTGGGGCACACAGCTGTACTTGGAACACAGTGGTGCAGGATGCCACCGAGCTCCTTCTTAAAAGATGACACAGTGAGGTGACTGCAAATAAAAGCTTTACTAGGAGCTGGATATGATAACCCTGCTGTGGGTTGTGCTGTGCTCTTCTTGGGGCAGCTCTCCCACCTTTGGGACTCAGCACATCTACCCTTAGCACCTAGTGCTTTCTGCTGAGGGTTTCATCCTGTCCCATACAGGCAGGATACTGCTGCCCAGTGCTGAGAGCAGCTAAACCTCTGGGCATAACAAGGGACTGCAAGGAATGCTGCTCCTCCCAACTGGCCAGGGATAATGGGCTCCAAGGATGGGAGGGCATCAACCAGCACACAGGACCGTCAGAATGCCCTCAAGTGTCCAGGAAGCCCTTGCTTGAGGCTGGATCTGCCTGGGGCATCCTTGGGGCAGAGGCTACACAGCACCAAGAAGGGTGGGGGGAAAAAGTCTTCACCACCTTTTGACACCATCCTGAACTGCCATAGCACCCTCATTCCCTAGACTGGGGACTGGCTGCAAGACCCTGCCCCAAGTGTGGCACTCCTTGCTAGAGGTCTGGATGTTCTTCCTTGTCATGTTTGGATGGGGTCTTGCCATCAGTGGTGGGTGTTTGGGGGGGCAGCAGTATTCGCAGAGGCTTGGCAGGGGCAAACTGGAACTCCTCTGGCACAGGGGCATCAGGTGTCTCCTTGCGGTAGAAGCCCAAATCCTGAATCAGCTGGTTGATCTCTTCCCGGGTCATGTCGCTCAGGGGAATTCTCTGCACCCAGACAGGGTTATAGCCTGGCACCTATAAGGCACTGACCACCCCAAGCCGTGCGGCAGCAGGTGCCACATTGCCCACTCACCTCTAGCTCCTCATACTGGAGGCTGAGGAGCACAAGCTCAGGGTCAGCGCCAGGCAGGTGTTTCATCTCCAGGTTATGGCTGGGCAATGTGTCAAGGAGTGGGCAGCACTGGTCAGGCCCATGCAACCCTTATCCTATCCCATCCTTTATTACATCCCCTTCTACCCTCTGTCACATCCCGTTCCTGCATATTCTGTACCAGCCCCCACCCCAGCCAATGTTCTCTCATATCCCAATCCCTTCCATCCCATCTGTTCTGTCCCACATTCCATCCTTCATTACATACCATCCCATCCCGTTTCCCATATAATACCATCCGATCCTCCATCACACTCCCCTAACCACCTGTCCTCCAGTTCTCACCAAACCCTGTCCTTCATTCCGCTCAAAACCCCATCCTCCCTCAGCCCGTCCCTCCCATACTTCATCCCATCCCATCCGGACCCCAGCGTTGCAGCCGCCGTCGGCGGGTACTAGAGCGGGATGTCCTGGGTGACGAACGCCTTCACCTGTGGAGAGTGGCCAGCCGGGCCCGGCTCAGTGTTGGGAAACCCCGACTCCCCGGCCCGGCCCGGCCCCGGTACGTACCTCCCTGAGGCGGTTCAGCCGTCACCCACCGCAGGTCTGCGGGAGAGGATACCCCGTCAGGCAC